AGATGCAAGAAAAAATACACAAAGACTTTGCGGAAGTATCTAAAAATTTAACTAAATACAGATTTGAAAGTGGTGTTTGTTGAGCTATAAAATTTGTTGGACCATAAAATTAATTATGTATTTTTACGTAAGTCGCTCAAGCTGGTTTCTAGAATGTCAAAACTTTTTAGCGTTGCGCATCATTCTTAATTGAGTTACATAATTATTTTGATGATCCAACAAAATTACTTTCAAATCTGTACCTAGCTAAATTTTTAGATATTTTAGCAAAATCATTTTTTTGTGCAGGAGAAAAATTTATTTTATAATTTTTTATATAAAATCTAATAATATAAAACAACATTTCTTTTCTGAATTTTTCGAGGTTATATGAATCATCTTGCATCTTTTAATCAATTTAAACAGAACACTAATTTTTTTGGTTTTGGTATCATGAAAATACAAGAAAATATTCACACTCATTCGAAGCAGCCTTAAAATAATCCAAGGTTACACGGAAGGCGAAATTGAAACATATATACGAGAGAACCAGATCTTTATTACTTTATTTACTTCGTTTACAGTATACATATATGTATGTCCGAAATTTTTATCTCCAACTCCTAAACACTTGCTGTAAAATAAGCAGTTGATTATAGCAATTACTATTTGTTTTGATGTACTTTGATAATTCGCCTCCTAACATTTTTTCGAGCCACAAGTTTGTTTCGTAAAACGATTCTTTCTAACAATCCTCCGAGAGAGTTGAAAAATAGTCTATTAAGTCTGTGGTGATCTTATTGGTTAATTTATTGGTCTATCACATTCAATTAATTTAAAAACATTAGCTTGTTTTGTTGATGCCAGTGTGGTATATTTTATAATATATTATTGCCATCGCGCAGTGTCTAAGTGATTTTTAATCTTGACGTAGATATGTGTGTGAAATATTTAAAAATAGAGTTTAATCCGTCGAGACACAATCCGATGAGTCTGAGAAGATTACATGTATATAATACGTAATCTATATACAATATGTGTCACTTTAAATTATAATCTTATGCGTATACGTTGATAATATTTATTATTAACGATGAGAATTTATTCTTCACACCAGATTATAAATATACATGTGTACACTATAAGCAGCTTAGTGCTTGAAATATTTAAAGATCCAGATTTTATTCGATTTTATATCTGTCATTAAATCAATTTTTTCACGACGAAGGCACGATGATTATATGTCCGTTTTTACTGGACATGCGTCGGTGATATATCGGCGATCATTTCATGTTTTTTTTACAAGCTGCAGTGATACCGCCTCCTTCCGCTTTGAGAGCCGATTATTCGATCTCGTAGCTCTGCACATGTGGTGACCTTGAATGATGCATCGATTGGGTGCGAAGTGAGAGGTAAAAAGGGAGGAAGCGAAAAGAAGAAACAGAAATACCGGATGCTCGGTGTGTTTTATTAATACATCGTTCACGTATGACACAAGTGTAGTTTCCACAAGCGCGACATGCAAACGCGCGATGAATAAAGAGAGATATCGCGCTAATCACGAATCCCCGAGTTGCACGCAATCCTCAAGCAGTGCAAGAGCTTAAAGGAAAACCGATGAAGCCACACGATATTGCGCGATTGCAGCCGAAGATTTGTCCATTCTGTCGGCCAGACGCAGGACGCAGCCTCTAATTTCTTTCCTCGTGAATATTGATCACGAAAAAAGCGTGCGCAACAACTGCGTTTATCGAGTCGGCGTATCGAGTCTTGATACAAGTACAACCGGTCATCTTACGTCGCGCATGCTTGCACCATTATCATACAACGCAATGCGCAATTCTATATTTTTATTGCATATAGAATATCTGTAGAATAAAATATAAATTTTATGTGTATATTATTTACACATATGTATATGTTTATATATAATACAGAATATTCCAGACGTACTGCAACACCACTTGCTAAGGGAAAATTCTTGAAGACATTTAAAGACGAAATCTAATACTAAAACGTTGAGGCTACAATTTTAGTTTTAGCATGCACAGCCAGTTAATTAAATAAGTAAGAAAAATTATGTAGATATAAATTCAAAGGTGCACGTAAAAAGTATTTAAATATTAATATCCATTTAATTGTAAGATCTCTCTCTTTTTACTATGCAATGGAACATACGAATTTTGAACAATCCGACTGAACAACTTTAAACGCATCCCATTTGAAAACAATTTTTGTAGACTCAACATTAAAATTTTTGTTTCTAATGTTGAGTCTATGTAAATGACTTCAAAAATCTGTTATTAGCAGGTGCAATAGCTCTGAAATACTTTATACATATATGTATATTGTGTATGTATATAGAATGCAATATACATATACATAATATAATGTGTGTGTGACATTTTTTATATAAATAATTAAATATAATAATTTATTTTATAAAAATAATTAAGAAAAATTAAAAATATTATAATAAAACGTGATCTTTAAGAAATAAAATAAAAGATAAATTGTCAGTTTAATTAATATTAATGTGTAAGTTATACACATTTGTTTAAGCTTCTAATCTAATCTTGCAACTGATCATACGCTAAAGGTGAAAACGCAACCGCACATTAATTAATTGATAATTAATTTGATATTACTAAATGAGCATTATTAATTCCTGTGCTATTGGATATCAAGAAATTTATTGCAAAAAGTATGTTATGTGAAATTTAATACTTATTTTTTTAAGTAAAATTTTCTTCTCTTTTCCTTCCCTCTTTCTTTTCTCTGCTCTTGTAAGATAGAATAAACACGAAATAGCCATTGCTCTGAAAACAGCGATGATTGATACGCGAAATGATACCGTTATGGATACCCAGGAGCCCTCCGCGCATCCATTTTCAAGGATATCTATGAATTTTAATCCGCCGTCGCATGGAGAGAGGAACGTAGTCTTCTCGCAGGCGCAGCGTAGCGTGTACAGCGTAATGTAGCGAGAGAGAAGCCCTCCTCTTACGTACGCGGCATCAATAATGAATGGGCGAGGCCGCAACGTCGCAAATCAGACACGAGCTTCTTATCACGGCCGTACAAACTCGCGGTTTCATTACGGGGTCTATCTCATTTCGGCGGACGTTTTCCTCGATATATTATTTCATAATCGTATATGTAATTGCATTGTGTGAACGATATTGTGACCAGTGACGTTCTTCAGCGAGAATCAACCTCGCGAAATCGTCCAACTATTCGTGTCGAAATCGAGCATTGTTTTGTAAACGCGCGTGTACCGAGGGACGAAACGGAAAATGAATTTGTTCTCGATCGGGTCAGCAGGACCAGACCGCGCCGAGGATGCAGTTAGACCGCAACTGAGGATTCACCTCGTGGGGAAAGGGAAATCCAATAGCCCCGGAATTGAATAACTTATCGACAGATGTCGTGGAGCGTGAAGGCACGTTCGGGAACAACTTCCTCCTCTCTCGAGGAACCGTTGCGGATCAGCCTAAGATCGATAGGCTACATCTAGTCACTCTAGCAGCCAGTGCACGATTTTCACGTTAAAATCTCGACCTTCATCCCCATCCAAACGCGGTTCTTTCTCTTCTCCCTTTTATATAATATACCATTCCTTTTTAAAACATGCTTTCTCTTCTTTAGACTTTTATTTAAACTTTCTCCCGTAAGCTGTCTTCCATTTCCTTCAAAAAAATTGTTTCTGATCAGTTATTTCACTATATATCTGACTGATAAATATAAATTAGATCGATTATTCTCTTGCAAAGTACATCTTTGTCCTCGTGTAAAGATATAATTAATCTCAAATAATTGGAAGATTGGAAAATTACTTATGAACGTTTAGTATTTTCTACACAGAAAAAATTAATTTTAAATCAATATGGATATTCTCATATTAAATAAAAATGCTATAATCTTCTTAGAAGATTTTAATATTTATATCTTGATTTGATTGAATCGATTTAATTGGTGCAAATATTTTTACTCAATTCAAGATTAAAGAATCTTCTAAGAAGATTATATCATTATATTATTCTTGCTTATATATATGAGAATATCTGTCTTGATTCAAGACTTAATTTGTTTTCTGTGCAAAATGACAAATTCTATCATGTAAGATTTTAATTTTTAAATCCTTATTTTATAAAAGCATTCTTGTTTATTTTTTTAATCAAAATTTGGTATTATTCGTCGCAAGCGTCCACTTTTTAGCAATTGTTTTATTATAATATCCTTTGCAGGGTTCTCTTCCAAAGTTTGTTCAGAAATTTAATCAATGCGTCTGTTAAAGAAAAGTTTTGCAACTGTTATCTACGGCGTTGTTCCTCTCGCTACCGCTTTATACTAAATTTTGTATTTATATTTGGTAGAATATCTTACGGAGTTAATGCAGACTATAATTCAAATTTACAAACAGATGTGATATGATATAGCAATTAAAATATGATATAATATTCACGATAACTATAGTTTCAATCCATCTTCAATACATATTCTGCTACTTCTTGCGCTATTGATTATTATTATTATATATGATATATTAAGATATGTTGTTTACATATATCTTCATTAGAGAATATATTTCTAAAAAACCCCGAGCCAATCTAAGTTTTATTTATAATTTTATATCTTATATATTCGTACCTATTTTTCTTTTTTTTTCCTTATCTTATATTATGTTGTTGTTTTATGTTCTTTTATCTTATATTTATTTTGCAACTAGGTTAAACAGTGCATCAATATCTTTAATGCATATACACTTGACAGACTCTTATTTATTTTACCATATAAATATATGTATCAGAGAATTTGTTTTTAGATGTCAAATAATTATAGTGATTTTATTTTCTCTCTGTTTGTCCGTTTATTATTATCTATCTCTCTTTAAATATTTCCTTTGAATCGATTTCATTTCTGCTATTTAAAACAGTTTTTAAGAAATAACAATAAATAATGCATAGTGTAAATGACATAGACGTAAATGGCACGAAACTTTTTAAGAAAAAATATTTATCTGCATGCATAATTTTTTTTTATTATTTGAGGCACTTTATTTTATTTATTTATTTTATCTGCATTGAAATAATGTAACATCAAGTAATTATAAACTCTAAAGGCTAAGAAGAGAGAAAAATCTAACATTCAGAACTAAACATACACTTTGACCATATACATTGCAATAAAGCTTAAGAGACTAACAATAAAATGGTTTAAGCGTTCGCGTCATACACGTATCATGTAATAGAGATACATTATATGGCGGATTCAATTTTCCTACATATTTACCAGTATTTCATGGTATTTATGGACTTTCCGGGAACATTTAATCTTGCTGTTCCTTTCTTCGGATCATTTATCAAAACTTCTTTCTCTTCTTCGTTCCTGAAGGAAATAAAAATTCAGTAAATACGTGAGTTTTATTGCAATCGAGATATCGTGCTATCGAACACGCTAATTCGTACATTTATATAATTCACTGAGAGAAAAATGTTTAGTATTTGCAACTATAATTGCATGGTAAAATAATCATGGTTAGTAATACCATTTTTGAAGTTATTACTTCTATAATTTTAGTAATAATAATTATATTTATAATTCTACTAAACAAATATATGTATAGTTGGCGTCGAAAATGACTATACGTTATGGTAATTGTAACTATTTTTTTCTCTCAGTGCTTATCAGAATATTATGTGTACGCGCGCGCATGCAAGGTAAACTTACAAATTTAAGATCACCAATACGATGCCGCCGTCGGACGTGGAAAACGCAATATTTTGAATTCCCTCAGTATTTTCCGAGGTTGTGCCGATTCTTACGCTGTTAGGTGGGACATACCTGATCAAGGAAAACGCTTAATGAATAGAAATAGGTGTATCGGTAAAACCGGGTAAAACACTACAGATAAATAATAAACTATTTTACAAGATATCAAAGTTAGGCTTTGCATCATTTCACTGCGTTACTAATTACAAGTCAATCGAGATATAAAGGCACACACTTTGAAAAATGTCCAAGAACATAGAACATCGGTTGTTTGTAGAATTCGTCGGCGGTACCGTTGACTATTATCGAAGAATCAACATGATTTTTTATATAGGTAGGTCCACCAATCGTATTTAAAGCTATGTTCCAGTCGATCCAAGCAGATACCCAGTGCGACATGCTCTCGATGATATTCTTTGCGTATCTCTCACCACGTTCCCATGAACCCAGAATCACTTTTTTAACTGTAAATAATCATTTCATCGCCCATTAAAAATACAGACCGTGACTCACTCCGTATTTGTCTCGTAAAGATCATATTTTTTAAATTTGAATTTAATCTATATTATATATTTTTAAATCAATATAACAGTTGACGATTAGGATTAAATGAAAAAAAGTTAAATCCTCAGACATGCAAAATTTTTTTCGTTTTAATATTATGGAACATGACTACGAGACTTTCTTGTAAAAACTGTCAAGAATTATAGCAAGAGATATGTATTTACAATATATTATAATCAAATCGATATGTATTAGAAGACGCTGTAGCGGTTTCCGCCCAGTATATATTTTTGTAATATATTATAAACAAATCTTGAAAAGATAAAACATAAAATCAAATCTTCACTAACCTTCGAAAATTCCAATGGAGGCTTCCGAGTATATCAGTGACTTCTCTGGAAAGAGCTGTTTTATTTCATCCAAGACACTCGAGTTAACAACATTATCGTAATAAAAGTGGATCGCGGTTCCAGTAATAACATCTCTTGCTTTCTGGTCTTGAAATACCATTTTTGGCCAATGAGGAAGTGATAGCCTGTTATCGTCCATTGAAAAAATCTTGATATGGCCGAATTTATTTTTCTTCAGAGTTGGCGCCAAGTACTCAACAATCCAGTCACGTTCTTCCTCGGGTGTATATGCCATTCCGAGAAGACTAAAGAGCACCGGAAAATCACAAGCCAGAATATCACAATTAGCATACTTGTAATTTTCTGGCTCATTTTGACACGTTGTACCCCAGAATTCTATTCCATGACTACGATAAGCCTCGTAAAATCTATAAAATAATAAAATATATAAAAGTAAAATGGGATTTATAACACTATACGTTTCTCAAACATCTCGGGAAGTTTTGCGTAATTATGCGTTTGTTTCACATATATAAAAATGAATCGTGCACTGTGTAAATTATCGTCAAAGAATATTCTGATGAATTATTGTGAAAAACTAAGGAATTTTGTTTAATAAAAATATTACAATGATATTTTACTTCACGAAATAATCTGCCCATAATTGTCGATATTCCGGACGTAATTTAGTAGTAGAGTTGCTAGTTTGAGTTGTGACTTTCATCCAAACACTGGCACTCCACGGGGTAGACAGCAACTTAATTTTCCCTTTGCTTAATTCTTGAGCTCGCTTTAATGTCGGTATCTATTGACAATCAAATAAATCTATTTAATGAAATGCGTACATATCATATATTGCGCAATTGCTGTATCATTCGTTTACTTAACGCAATTATAGAAACGCAAACATCTTTTTCGTATGCCGTCTTCTGCTTGA